GGGTCGGTCCGCCGGGCCCCACTTCCCCTTTAAATGCCGTCGGGGCCGAGCCCCAGGTGTGTGTCGCTTGCGACCCCCCTCCCCCACCTGCTCTGGAGGAGCGAATCCTCCATCCCCGCCGCGGGGTCAGCTTTCCGCCCCGCCCAGGTCCCGACGCGCCCTGGAGCCGCGCCAGTAATTCCCAGGCGCGGCGCTGCCTGCGCCGCCTCGGGCCAGAGTCGTTCGCAGCCTTTGCCACCGGCACCCTGCGTCCCCAGAGATCTCACCCACTCTGGCCTCGTCGGGTTTTAAGGCCCCGCGGCTCTGGCTGCCCTGCATCCTTGGGCAGGTACCACGCCTCCCGCGGGTCCCCGAGTATGCAGCGTGGGATCCCCATCCAACGCGAGGCCCCCTTGCTCGCTCACCAGGGACCCCTTGTGTCTTTGGGGACAACGGGCTAAGAACGAAGGGCCACTGTGCTGGCCAAAGAGTCCCAGTGAAGCCCAGGGGATGTCGTGGGGATGAAGCGGAGTGCAGACGCGGCGCAGCGAAGGACACAAGGCCCGAGGCAGGGCCTGGCTGGACGCGGACAGTGGCTCTGGAATCGTTGGGGGTCGCCGCCCAATCAGCTTGAAGGCGGACCAGACCCCTGTAAGGGTGGAGACGCTGGAAGCTCGGGAGGCCCCAGTCATCCGAGGAAACCTTTACTCCGAAGCCCCGGGAGCCCGAGATCCCGCCTGGCTAGTCTGCTCGGTGGCTCGGGCACAGGGCGTAGTGGGTGGCAAAACTCTCTGCGGGGTTTTCCGGGACCCCGGAAAAACAAGGAGGACGTCTCTCCTGTGCCCCCGACACCAACCGCTGGGCCCCAGCTCCCCCCAGGCTCCTCGGCAGTCCTGCCAAGGCTGATGCGCCGCGCAGGACTGCGGTACCTGGGAAGAGCAGGGACCCCGAGTTCTGGCCACTTGCCCTTGCGCGGAGAAGCGGTGATCCAGGTTCAGAGAAGAGAGGGCCCTGAATTCAGCGCCCGCGGTGTTAATACCAACCTTGTAGAAATGAGTCTTGCCCTGGGACCTCCCCAGGATTTCCTGGGGCTGTGAAGAGTCATGGTGAATGAATGTCAATTCATTTAAAAAACAAGGGTTCCAATTTTCCTGAATGCCGCCCCCACCCACGCCGCCCCCTGCCCTCCACTAATGGCGGTGTGGAGGAGGAGGCCGGGAGTGGGGCTAAAGATTAGATGGAGTAGAAGGCTGGGGCTCTGGAAATAAGAGCCCAGTTGGAGTCGGCCCTTTACTGCTGGTGTGGCCTTAGGCTTTTAGATCGTAATTTTAAATTTTATGTAAAACAACCAATTTGTGGAGCACGTTAACAAATAGCAGGAGGCAGAGCCCCTCTAGCCCCTTGGGAAGCTGTTACACTTCAGGGTGATTGTTGGCGGCCTCTGCAGGGACTCTGGTCTCTCAGACAAGGACAGGAAAGAAGCGGCTAGAACTGGTACATGGGGCCCCTCTGCTGGCCTGTGCCGGCCCTCCCCTTTCCACCTTCCCAGGGACTTCTAATTGTCGCAAAGGCTTACAAGTTGTGAGGATCCTGGTACCTTTCAGGACCCCGCCCCCCATCGCTGCAGGGACAGTTTTGTGGGGAGGGGGATGTCAGCACTTAGGATGGGATGATTTTTCTTGCTTCTGTCAAAACCAGCAGCCTGAACCACCTGCCTCTCAGTTTTGAGATTTTCAGTTTGTCCTCACAGTTTTAAACACATACTGTCCCCATACATGGGACAAGCTTTTCAGTGACTGCATCTTAGAGAAAGTGGCTTTCCGTCAGCAAAAATGGTTGCAGGCATGACTTGGCTGTGCTCGTTGGGAGCACACTGAGAATCAGCTCCCCTCCAGAGTAACCACACTTAGCTCCCTGAGAGTGGAGCAGGTTTCCAAACCTGACACTTTGAAATGGCTGCTGGTAAGGAGGCAGCTTTCCAGAAACCATGCTTCACGAGGATGGAACATCACAGAAGTCGTGCAGCTCTTCCTGACCGGAACTATGCAGGTGACGGAGAAAAAGTGTGAAAAAGGGGAATACAGCCAGGTGGGCGGGCTTGAACCCACAAAGGGCAGCCCAGTCTTCCCTTTGTCCCCGCAGCTGCTGTGTGACAGCTGCAGAGACACCAGGGAAAAAACCGCTGCTCCTTGTGGGGGCTTTTGATTGTCCAGGACTTCAAATGTAGAAGACACTTGTCTTGGTGGAGTGACACAATGACTCGGACAAGGAATCAATTGTATCTACAGTTAACTGTAGATACGTGATAATAAAACCAGAGATCTTGAATGGACAGCCTGAGTCATGTCTTGTAATGTAAAAGAATTTAAAAGGATAAGAGTTCTTTCCAATTTCCTTTCATTTTAATAACCTTTTCTTTCTGTTAATGTAACTCTTTCATTCCTGTGAGTTTCAGGACTTCTAAGAAAATTAGATGAATCTTCATGTAATTTTCCTCAATTTTACTTTCTAAAAGCCGTCACGATTTGTGCTGTGCAGGAGTGGCCGTGTTTTAATCACCTTTCTTTGCTTTCTGAGCCCAGTGTCCTTCTTCCACCTCTACTGTAATAATTTCCTTATTTTTCCACACATTGGGCTCATGAGTATCAGTCGATGGAGTACAGTCACTTGGGGAAGAAACGTTTTACCATTTGAGTCAGTCTTGGATGGAACTCTGATGAGAATTCTTTCCAAGAGGAAAAACAGATAAAAACAAGAACAACAAAAACTCAGCAGGAGGACACAATAAGGAACAAGGCTTTGCCTCCAGAGTCTTCCACTTCTCCTGGGTCCTGGGGCCTCTGCCCAGAGTTCCTAAACAGAACTAGTCCCCTCCTCAAACCTCTGCCCTGTTGCCTTCTCTTTTATCCTCGAAAGTGACTCTGCTGCCCACTTTGTGAGTAGGTCTCCCCAACCTTCCTCCCCCAAACTTCCAAGTCCACCTGCAGCTGCATCACCTCTGTCTTTCTTCCTCTGGTCACCGTGGGAGAGGCATCCCTTCTTCCTCCCCACTGTCTCTCTCTGCTTCTCAGCAGCCCAGCTTCTCGAAGAGTTGCCTCTGTTGGCTGTTGGCCCGTTCCCCCTCTGGAGAACACACTCCTTCTGCAGCCCAGACGGGAGTCCACCCCCACGACTGCACCGAAACTGCTCAGGCACCGTGTCCGCTGGCCTCTGTCACCCTAAGTCCAATGATCGCTCTTCCTCACTTTGCTTGACTCTCAGGAGCTCTTCCTACATTCCAGAATCACAACCCTTTTTCTACTTGCTTTTTCATTTCGTCCTCTGGTTTACTTCCTCTTCTCTGGCTCCTTCTCAAGCTCCGGGGTGGCCTGCCCTCCGCTCAGAGCTCTGTTCCAGGCCCTTTTCTCACACTTGTGGCTTTAACTACCCACCATTAATTCTCGGTTTCTCAACACCATCACTATTGGCATATTGGGCTGGGTAATTCTGTACTGTCCTGTGCACTGTAGGATGCTAAGCAGTGTCTCTGGCCTCTACCCACAAGATGCTGGCAATAGCCCTCTGTTGTTATAACCAAAAATGTCTTAAAGTATTGCCAGTGTTTCCCTGTGGGGCCAAAATCACCCCTGATTGAAAACTTCTGCATTAACTAATGATGCTGTCGTTTTTATCATCCATCTGGATGTCTTCCTCTCCAACTCCGTATGTCCCATACTGAATTCATTATCTTCCATGTGTGAGCTGTGAGAGTAGCCTCTAGCCCATGAGCGTGCCTTCCCTTCCCCCACAGCCATCCAGGAAGCAGGAACTTCAGTCCTGCAGCCACAAGGAACTGAATTCTGTCAACTGCAGGAATGACCTTGGAAGAGGACTGAAGTCCAGATGTGACAGCCAACACCTTGATTTTAGCCTGAGCAAAGAACCTAGCCATGCCTTGCTGGATATCTGACCTACAGAAGGTGAGCTAATGAGTGATACTGCTTTAAGCTGCTAAGTTTATGGTAGTTTGTCACACAGGAATAGAAAACTTAAAAACAAAAGCCAAACACCAAATGGAGCCATGTCACCCCAGTTCAGTAACCTCCACTGTGTGGTGACAAGGAGGTTCCCGCTTCTCATGGCGACTATGCCTTTCCTGGGCAAGACCCTGCCCTGTGTCCTTACATCTCACCGTGCCCTGTGTGGTGCTCCAAGTAAGGCACATCCACTGATGTTCAAGGCTGACTGGTGGCTTACCTTTTTAAACATTCAAGACTGGGGAGAAGTCAGGGGGTCTTGGTGTTTGAATGGATCATTTACAATGTCACCAAAAACTATTCTTGATTTTAGTAGTTCTTGTCTTTCAAAGAGTGTCTCAAGCTCCAGAATTAGATATGGGTGCCCAGTTTTTCATTCTAGAAGGGGTCGGGTCAGGGGTTGCTGTGGTCAAGAACTCAGGCCCGGTTATCAACCCAGCTTTGGCCTGAACCCTGTCTCTAGCAATGGGACTTAGGTCAATGATTCCACCTCTGAATTCCATTTTCCCCCCACCTGTGAAGTGCTTTGATGTATTAAGTCTCTCAATTAATATTTATCCTGTTTCCTCACCAGCCCATGGTAGTTCATAACTGAAATTTACTTCAAACTCTTACCACTGAGAAAAATAATTGAAGCAACGTTGGACTGTGTGGACTGCCAAACCTTTCTTCAGCTGACAAATGTAGGAGATGAGAACTTTAGCTACGGATAGACTTGGATTCAAGTCTTGGCTCTAGTCCCAAACACCTGGGTGAGTGAACTGTTTAAACTTTCCAAGTCTCAGTTTCTCCATCTGCAAAGTGGCGCTAACAGTGCCCATCTCATAGGCTATTATGAAGACTAAATGCGATCATGCATGCAGAATTACTCACTGCATGGTATGTACTGGTATTCACTCTCTCTCATTCAATCAATCATCCATTGGTCTGTAGAATGGATCCTGACTTTACAGTTTGTCTCCCTACATGTTAAATACACTTTTGTACCTAAATATGTTATCCACATCCTTGATATGAAACTGAGGAAAGACTTTATTACAATATATTTTCTCCAAATATTTGCTAGTGTCTTACAAGAAAAAATCCTGGCTGTACTGAAATACAATGTTTAAACAGATCTCACCTCATTGACTTTAAAACTATTCTAAATTTTATATATTTTCACTTTTATTCTAAAAGAGATCAAACAATGAACTTAAGTTTGTAAATTGTTGCTGAATTTGCTTCATCTCTGTGTATGTATGTATTTTGTTGCTGAATCCTTTAAATGTAAAGTATAAATCTTTTTGATTCTTTACCCTTAAACATGAATCAGTCTTAAAAAGAGAGACATTTTCCTATGTAACGACACCATTACAATCACAAGTAACAAATTAGCAGTAATTCTTTCATATTATCTAATACACACTTCATACTTAAATTTCTTCAATTTTCCTAAAGTAACTTTAGAAAGTTAAAAAGCCCTTTTCTTTCCAGATCAGGGTCCAAAATGCCCATGAGAGCTTTCCTGGATTTGTCGGGTTCCTTTTGTTTCTTTTATTCTAGGACAGCCCCTTCCTCCCCCTGCCCTCAAGCTGTTTATTTAAAGGCATTGACTTTTTGAAAGAGCAGCTGTACCATCAGGATTTGTCTGTTTTCTCCTGGTGATGTGTAACTTGCAACCATATTCCCTGGACTGGAAGTTAGGTCTCAGGATTGGTGCAGATTGAGATTACGTGGTTTTACCCCATCACATCAGCAGGCATGCAGTGCCAGGTTGGTCCCCTCTCACTGACTCTGGGTTTGATCATTGGGCTAAAGGAGTGACATTGCAAAGGCCATTAGGAGCTAATCCGTGGTATGATACTCAGATACAGTAAAAAAAAAAATCCAGTTCCCCGCATGGAGGTATCCACAGATAAGGATTGCTATTGACTTTTTTTTCCATTGATAGTTGCTGCCTGAATCAATTACTCTAAACGGTCTAATTCTGCTATTCTTTAACATTCATTAACTGTCATTTTTCTATAAAATAGAGCTTTCTGTCATCAACTGGATTTACTTGGTTTACCCTTAACTATAACTTATATTAAAAACACCAGAAAATTACATGATTCTTTCCCTTCATTGATCAATTCTAAGAGGAAGATGTTGGTGAAATAGTCATCTTAATTGGAAACAAGGTTTTTGTTTTGTTTTGTTGGATTCCTCTTTGAATATCATG